CCCTCCACAGACAGGGCAGACAGTGAAACTGAAAGCACTTCTGTCTTCACACAAGCAGCTGAAACTCCTGAACGAGATTCCCCACCTCTCCCTCGTCCCCTCTTCACTTCATCCCACGGCAACCTCCCCGATCTCATCTCTCCAGATGTCAATGCAGCCTCTCCATATAGAAAGAAACCAGTGTTGGACATGGATGCTTGGGTAGCTGGCTTGAACACAAAGATTAAGGTCTGGAATGACGATGAAGACGATTATGAGGATGATGATGAAAGCACACAGAAGGATGAGGATTCAAACTATGATTCAGACTCTGGAGAGTCCTCTGTGACCATTACTAGTAACATGAGCCAGTCGGACCGCAGGAGCTTCTGTGTCAGGTGGGTACTGTTTATACTTCCATATTGATGTTGCTGGAATTATTCCAACAATTGGACTGTTTTTTACCCTCAGAATTCTTTCCTCCTTGTAGTCTTTCAGATCTGTGTAACTTTGCTGGAGTTGACTATGAGTCAGAAAATGATAGCGATGAATGGCAACCTACAGGCCGACGGTCTGCCTCACTGAGCTCCGACATGTCAGCCCTGTCCTGTGTGTCTGTGCTGCCCAGTGAGGAGCTTGACAGGCTGCTGGACGATGTCAGGAGCCTGGGGGACAGCAACTTAAAGGTACAAATAACTGGACATCAGTAACCGTTTACATGCTTTGCTGTGGTTTTAAACCAAAATATTTTCCAGAGCTGCAGTTGCACTGGTCATTTTAATGGCCCCTTCTCTGCTTGGCATTAACACATATCTGGATATGATTTAACTGCAATTGATTAATTTGATTACTGTAGATGTTGCTACTGATTAGGATGCAGGTTATTTGTTACACTAGAAAAAACCCTAAAGGTTCTGCTAAAACAAAGTTTTCTTTTAGAAGTAGTTCTTTACAGCTTACCAGTTGCAATTCCAGTCTTCTCATATATAATAAACCAAATATAAACCAAATAGTTCCATGAAAAATACAAATCATAAAATTGGGCAAATACTGTACAAAGGCTGCAGCATGATGTTGGTAAAAAAAACTGCACACTTCTCAAACTCAAAGCAGAAACATCTTAACCTGATTACCTTAAGTATCTTTCAATTATCTCAGAAGACAGAAAATGGCCTCTGATGGTCAGATGTATAAACAAATGCGTGCATTCAAAAATGAAAAAAATGTATTGGATTCAACAGCTGTATAGCTGTAAAGTTCAGATTCATCTTGGAAACTATTTAAAGTCATCAGTCTCTCTTTCACATAGATAAGACTGATTTCCTTAAAACAAGCAAATAGGATCATACAGCCAACAATACACTATTCCTTGGAACCTTTCTTCATATAATTTCCCTCTCTTTCACATATTTCCTCTTCTCAGTTGTGTTTTAAAATTTTAAAAATGTCAAGAGTGTAATTACAACTTCTTTGTCATTCTTTGTATCTTCCAGGACTATAACGATGTGCAGGTTGTGGTTCTCCATAAGGAGGTGGGAGTGGGACTTGGCTTCAGTGTGGCAGGAGGCGTGGACCAGAGCAAGCCAGTCACTGTAAGTAAATACCTGCTTTCTCCTGAAAAGTATCTAAATGCAATGTCTTCAGGCTCTTCATTTGTCTCTCGATGTTTTCTCAGGTTCACAAGGTGTTTCACTCAGGTGTCGCAGCCCAGGAAGGCTCCATAAGAGAAGGGGACCAGGTATTGTCAATCAATGGCACTGCACTGTGTGACTACGCCCACTGGGAGGCCCTGAGGGTCCTGAGAAGAGCAAAGACTCGGGATTTGGGGGTGGTGGTCCTGAGGAGGGGAGGAATTAGTGGTGCCTGTAAGGGTGGAGCACAGACAAATAATTCTGGACCAACGCAGACTCAGGTCACAGAGACAGGTGAGAAGTCATGCTTTATCAAAGTTCTGAAAATACATCTGTCCTAAATCTGCAGCAGTTGAAACTGAAAAACTTCATCTGTGTTTTCTGCTTTTGCTACTGTCTCAGGTCAGCGTGTGTGTGTGTGTTTGGAGAAGAACAGCAGGGATCTGGGCTTCAGCCTGGAGGGAGGTGTAGGCTCCAGTCTGGAGAACAGACCACTCACTGTACAGAAGATTTTCCAGGGTGAGAACTGAAGCTCAGTATTTCAGGACTCCATAAAGAAATGCAGAGATTTGAACGGTCATTTGAACTCAAAGAGGTGGACACAAAATACATTGGATGGCCAAAAGCATGTAGACATCCAGACATAGTATCTGGACACTTGAACTTTAAACTCATGTGTGATTGTTGAACATCTCATTCCAAATTTGGGAGCATTAATATAACAGCTATAACAGCATCCACTGTTAGTTTTTCCACAATATTTTGGAACCTGCTCCCATTCAGCCTCAAGAGTATTAGTGAGGTCAGGCATGTGCATTTGGTGATAAGGCCTAGCTTGCTGTGGATGTTCAACTCATCCCAAAGGTGTTGGATGGGATTTTGGTCAAGTCTCACTGCAGGCCATTCAAACTAATTTACTAATGTTTGTGGACCTCACTTTGTGCACAGGATCACAGTCATGTTGTTAAAAAAACAACAACACATAATTGTCTGAAAGATTACCGATTAAGATGTTCATTAATTTGGAGCTCAAACCATGAAAAAGTGTCCACATGTATGTGGACATGTCTCTTTTCTATCTCTTCTCAATTAAAGTAAAATCTATAAAGGTTTGTTCATATAGGTTTAACCTAAGAATAACCTCTAGAATAAGATTTTATAGTTAAATAGCATACACACATTGCATCACCTTTACATCATGACAACTTTCAATTGACCTCTCTTTTTCAGACATGTTCATTAAAGCTATTTATTGAATTTTTCCTTTCCACCTTTTCCCTTCAGGAGGTCCTGTTGACAAAGTGTGTCCCGGTGATGAGGTCCTAGAGATTGGGAGTGTGAGCATGGTGGGGATGAGACGCCTGGAAGCCTGGACTTTGATCAGAAAACTGCCCCCGGGGTCTGTGGATGTGGTGCTACGTCGCCCTCTTAAACATCTGGAAACATGAGGATTATTGAGGTGCTTTGCACACAGTAAAGTTAAGTGACTGATAATGGACAAGAAACTAAAAGCCATCCATGAAAGACAGCTTTGTCTGCAGAACTCATTTTGGTCTGATGCCATTAAAACATTTTTTTATACTCAGTATAACAAAGCCATAAATGAAATATAATCTTGGAGACCAGGTCAAAAGTGTGTATTTTTCTTCCCTTTATCTACAAGATTACATCTATTACATCTACCTCAAAGCCTGGGATATTTCTGCACCAGCCATAATTAAAGAGCACTGATGGCTCAAACATTTATGAAGTCAACAAACATTTATGAAGTCAACAAACCTTTGTAACAGATATTTTGGTAAGCTAGTAATGTGGCACCTGTGAATGAAAACATGTTGTAATATATTATGTATAAAAGTTAACTGCATTTAGAGTTTATATTGCTTTTTAATAAATCCTAACTTAAAGTGATGCTTCTCATTCTTATGTCCAGCAGAGGGAAATAGCGTGATATTAACTTTCTATCACTTCAAAGCCCTGGGTTAAAGGTGTCTGTGTTTTTACACATTATCAAATAGTGATACTCCTCAAAAGTAGATGTGATAAGATAAGCTGTCACTTGCTGTAGATGTAGCTTTTACAGTCTCCACACTCCATGTCAAGGATTATGTATGGAGAGATAGTCATCACTTCACTTTTACTCCAAACTCCAAACTCGAAGTATAGCATACCGTCTGTTTTCAGATGGAATAGAAGTAGAAATATCCAAAATCAAAGCATATTCACCTGTGAGGATGCAGGACTGAATTTTTTTATGCAACAGTCATGTGCCTCTCTGAATAATTATCAGCAATAATACGGTTCTTTACACCTACACAGCAATCATTTGGCTTACATAATCCATTAGGAGTCCAGAGTTCACTGAGAGGGGTTATGGTGACATCTTGCTCTCTGATGATGAGAAGGGCTTCCCTATCAACCAACTTACCGTGGTCACTGAGGAGTATTTCACTACACCAGTCATAGTGTTTTATACATTTATGTACCGTCTATAACTTTTTGGACTTGAATTCCATAAGGATCATTGACCAGTTTTGACATTAAAATTTTGAATATCCATTCACAAAACCTACATGTTTAAGCCAGACTGTGTTAGGCTTCCATTTTGCCATTCTTGTGGTTTATACACAACATGTTAAGGAGGTACACAAGTTCTAATAGAGAGTATATACAAACAACTGTATACACTCCCTTTCTTAGTCAAATAAGCACCAATGATCTGACAAAGCTTTTAAGTTTGCAACTGCTGTGCATGTATTTTGAAGCGGGTAGTCAAATTGTAAATCACTGCAAAGTGCACATGCACTGATGGGATAAGTGCTGTTAGATGTGGTGTATTTCTTTTCTGTTTAGTATGTTAGTGTTACCTGTGGCTGTATCTCACATAATGATTTAATGACTTAATGACTCAAGAAGACGATAAAAACAAGTATAGATGTTAATTTGTCATAAATATCTGTAACTGGTTAGTTAGTAGTAGATATGTTTCTGTTGTATATATGTTCTGTGGTTTATTGCTGTCAATATAATCTGACTGCTTTTATGGCCTCTGTAGATATAAACAACCTCTAATAGCTGAGGCACATTACGCTCTCTGCATCAGCCCATCCGGAGGTGTGACAAGCCAAGAGAGAAGAGCCAATAAGTAATAGTGTTTGACCAACTGTGGAGAAAAGAGAAGGCAGACAAGGTGGGATACAGTGCACAGGTCCTCAGATGCTCAGGTGGAAGTTGTGACCGAAAACTTTTTTGTTTTGGCATCCGCCCTGACACCTTCACCAACACCACCACTATATCAGCTCCTGGACAGACAGTTAGCCCGACAGCTGGTCTGTCTGACAGCAGAGACAGAGTTCAGTGTGAGGTGAAAAGAGGGATTTAAATGCAGCAATGTTAAAGCTACGTGCTCTGAGAGTGAGAAATGCTCTGGTGCGAGAGTGCATGGCTGAGTTCTTGGGAACATTTGTCTTGTTGGTAAGTGACACTCTTTGAGTTGGCTTTTTAATTGTGAAGGTGCTAACAATATCCAACTTTTTTAGTTTTGAATGCCTTCAAAAATAAAAATTAATGTGAGAAATAAATGCATATATAACACACAAAAAGAAAGAATGAGAGGTGATATAACAAAATATAATCTTAAACAGTTCCATAATTTTTAATGACATTATTTTATTATCATTTAGCTTCCCTTGCATCTGCAATGTAATTTTTAAAAGATCATTTTTATTAATTATTATTATTTTAAAATGTTCATGTTTTGGGTACAATGGACAAGTAATGTTGTCTATGTTCTTATGTTCTTAAGTTCAAGGACCATTTTATTAATTTTAAAAAATCCTTGAATTTAAAGTTTGTAGTACATAAATGAAACTAAATTATTATATACTGTATATATATATATGTGTGTGTGTGTGTGTGTGTGTTTGAGGCTCTTTTTTATTTATTTAAATGTTCATTTTACGTTTGACACTACTGGAGACACGTGCAAACAGCTTTTATTAGGTCCTATTGAACCACTTCCTAGAATCAACGTGATATTGGGATTTACAACATGTACCTGTTTATTATTTGCTCAAGATGTAGAGTGGAGAGGATATTTTTCTATTCCTTTTTTTTCAGTTTACAGTATTTTATTTCCTCTGAGAAAGTCAGATATGTAAAAACATTAATGAACACTAGCACACCCAACTACTGTTGCCAAAACCTTAATTGCCTTGACATTTATATTAATTGTTATAATACCATAACTCTCTTTAATGTCAACCTGTAATAAATACGTAATTCAACAGTGTCAATAAGTGATTGATCAATAGTCGGTAAAAGCCATTAGATAAATACATGAAACACATGTGTCTACTTGTTGTGCTCCCATCTGTGGGGTTCAGTCAGAGATCGTTTGTTATATGGCCATTTAAATTAGAACATAAGACAGATGCATTACAATGTCAAAGTTCGGGAGGAGATGAACTTAATTACATTTTAATGACCTCAAATTTGTCTGTGATTACTGATAAATATGTTTGACCTATAAATAATTAGTCAATCACAAGGGAGTGATAAGGAATTGCAGACTGTGCACATGCTTTTTTGCCTGTATCTGTTTGAAGTTAGTGCTTTTATGTTTGTATTTCTTTGCCATGGAAGGATTATTTCTGCTATTTCCCCTGACTTTTCGGGTTTTCTCTCGCTCTCTGTCCCCTGTATCTACCATGAAGCTCTTTGGCTGCTCTGCCGCAGCGCAGGTAAAAACAAGCAGAGAGACTAAAGGCCAGTTCCTGTCGGTCAATATGGCCTTCTCTGTGGGCGTGATGTCAGCTATGTACCTCACCAAGGGCATCACAGGTAAAAGAAAACAACAACCTTAAAAAGGACACAAACTTTTCCAATGATATGATCTTTTAACTCAGTGTAATATCACACTCTCAACTGGCATCCTTGAAAGATTAACATACAGTAAAATACAACAGCAGTATTCACTTTATTGCCCCGCACTCTGAGTTATGACTTCTATTAATGCAGTCATTCACTGAGCACTTAAGATTTATTACACTAATATCTGGCTCTCTCTGCAAGGCTTTTCAAGGTCTTCACTCTGACTGATTTCTACCAGAAGACAACTACTCTTATTTGTCACACTATATGGCTACAAATAATCTGAGATTTCATTATCTTCCGATCTCTCTCACTGTTATTTACTCCCTTCCTTCTCCTTACTGTCGTTCTCTCCCTCCATTGTTTTTATTTCTCTGTAGGTGCTCATCTAAACCCAGCAGTGACTCTGAGTTTCTGTGTGTTGGGCCAGGTGCCCTGGGGACGGCTGGTTCCCTACTGCCTCTCCCAACTGCTGGGGGCTTACGTGGCATCAGGGCTTGTCTACTTGGTCTACTATGGTTTGTCTTTCTGGCACTTCAAACATTTTATCATTGATATACAGACGTGTGACAAATTAAAGAAGAAATCTGAATAAATGAGTGGAGAAATCTAAAACATGCAGCACACAAAGGCATAAGAAGTCACTAAAAAAAGGTTTGATGAGTATGGAAATGAGAATCAAAAGAAAAAGCTACAGCTTTCACAGTCACCAGATGTCAACCCAATAGAACACCTATGGGTGATTTTGAGCTGACTTATTGTACAGCTCTCTCAGCCATCATCAGCACACCATTCATCAATCCCTCCAGGGTTCAGAGACAGTATGCCATAAAGTATTAAAGTTGTTCTGGAGGCACTTTGCACATTTGCAAATCTGTTTGTTTTGTTGTTTGCTACATTACTTCTGTTTGTGTCTCAGATGCTATAATGGACTTTAGTGGAGGAGTATTGACTGTATATGGCCCAAATGAGACAGCATCTATATTTGCCACATATCCCTCAGAGTACATGACTTTGGGCAGAAGTTTCCTTGACCAGGTCAGTGGGAGGATTAGTGTGAACTTTAATCAGTACTTTATCAGCTTGTCCCTTTATCTAAATCACAACTCCCGCATTTACACTTTCCTTAGGTCGTGGGCACTGGCATGCTGATGTTGTGCATCCTGTGTTTGGGGGAAAAGAGGAATACCCCAGCTCCCTCAAAGCTGATTCCTGCTATAGTGGCAGTTATCGTCCTGGGGATCTCCATGTCAATGTCAGGTAATTGTGGTGCTGCAATAAATCCTGCTCGGGACCTGGGGCCACGCCTCTTTACGCTGACGGCAGGCTGGGGCACAGAGGTCTTCACGTAAGTATCTTATCTTAGAAATAAAGTAAATATGCACAGCAATAAACACACAAGTTTCCAGGAAGATAACTTAAGAACGCACATTTCTTATGTAACAGTAACAGTTTAAGGCCTTATAATGATGAAGCTACAATGTTCATTCAAACTCTTATAATAATTTGAAGAGGGACAGAAAATCATGTATGTCAGAGGTTATCAGACGTCAGAGCTGTCTGCAGGGTCAAAGGAACATGAGGTGTCAGCTTGTTACTGAACATCTGATTATGACCTGGTGTTTGTTTTAGGATGATACGTGTCGCTGTATATGATCTTATAATGCCATGGCTTTTCTGTGGTTCCACAGTTGTTCAATACTCTTTGTACTTGATCTAATCTAATACTAGGTGGTAACATAACTCCAAAACATGCTGACAAGTAAACATCCCTGACATAGTCTGGCCTTTCATAGTTCTTAAGACTATTAGGATATAATTGTATACTTTCACAAACAGCAGACACAGAGCAACATTATCATCCAATATACCGTCTTCACAGCAGCCATTTTGACATGAGATAGTAGAGTAAAAACAGGTGTTACCAAAGTTACTAATTCTTATGTTTCTATTCAGGTTAAACAGAGTCAGTGTGCTGACACACAAAGGCTCTGCTACACTAAATGGAACAGAGCTTTAATTAGTATCATTAGTAACACCTGTGATTATCCTACTATTTCTTGTCAAAATGGCTGATGTGAAAAAGGTCTATTATGTGGTTTTTCTGGCCACTTGACAGGTGCAAGTCCAATGTTCACTGGCCTTTTAGCCATCTGCCACTAACTGTGAAAAATAGCTGTTGCTAATATAAAAATGTATTTAACATCAAATCTGTAATTTTGTCTGTTTGTTGAGTGGGTTTATCCGAGTTTGTTAGCTGGAAATAGTTGATTCTGTCTCTGGTAATGCGGTGAAACAGAAACAAACATTGAGCTAAAACAGGCAACAAGATCTGTAGTGTTATTTACAGAGTTATTTGTGTAGAGTTATTTCTCTAAAGGTTTGTCACTATAAGCAATCCCTTTCACATTACGCATCCAGTGTCAATATACAAAATATTGATGAATGCAGTTTTTAAAAAACACATCTCAGTAGCTGGAAAACATACACATGGCCCACAAACTGTCATCTGAATGCCTTTCTGATGTTAATCTGTGTGTCTGCTCTCCAGGTGTTACAACTACTGGTTTTGGGTACCCCTGGTAGCCCCACCTATCGGAGGTGTCATAGGTACTTTCATGTATTTGATCTTCATCGAGTGGCAACTGCCTGACCCGGACCAGCCTGAAAGCCTCTCCACTCTATCCACCATCAGTGACAAAATCCAGCAGCCCGGCACAACGTGGGACAATGGAACAGGATTAAAGACTGCACATTTCTGAGAGTTACTGTAATGAAAATACGTCTCGCATGAGAAGGCTGATTCCAGTCTTCATGGCCAATACAGACAGTTAAAGACAGTAATCTGTTTTAAAATATGTTTGAGAAAGCAGAAGCAAATATCTGAGCTTAGCCACTGTTAAGATGCACGCACACCTTGTGATCTTCTGTTGAATAAATAATATTTTTTTATATATACTGTATGATCCATAGTGAGTTTCTACTCACGGCAAGAAGTGGAGGCAGCTGAAAGAGACATTGATTGTGTGATAATGCTGTTTACATCGATGTCTGTATTCTTTAGAATATTGATTTATTCCTGGTTAATTATATTACTAACATCAATGTCACTATTAATTACAATTCTACTCAATTTAGGGTTAGCATTATTATGTTGTAGTGTAAACCAGGTGCACATGATACTATATATGATTACATTGTGGCATTTAATTTACAAAATGTCATAAGATTGTATAAATAAATTTCCAAGAACTTGCTCAAATGTCTAAGTATGCTTGAGTTGACTTTTATTTTGGTATATATTTAATATTTTTCAAACGTGACAGAGAGGAAAACAGTTTCATTGTTTCACCCTGGTAGTAAGTGCATTTGTGTGTTCTTTTAAGTCTGTAGGGAAGTTTACTCCATCGTATATGAGGAGAAGAGGGTCAATTTAAGGGCCCACTTCAGAAAACACTGGTTTCCAGCGTCTTCAGCGTCTACATTATGATTAGGTGAGTCATGTCATCAGTGTTTTAGATTGCGTTGGTCTCTTGAGTCCATCTGGAATGCACTGAAGAGAAGATTGTGAAATAGGCTGATTACAGAGTAATGACGTGTTTGAACCTTTGAGGTATGTTCACAAAGGTCAAGAGTGTATTAAATTGGTGGTCTGTGACATTGACGGTGTCACAAACTACACGTAACATCAATTCACAAGCAATAACAGGACAGGAGAGTAAGACAACAATCTATGTGGTCTTTGGTAGCCTTATTTTTTCTTAAAACCTTAGATTTTTCAACAGTAGCCCCTCTCAACTGTAATATCCCCCACAGTTGTCAGAAGTGGATTGTCAGGAAGTGACAATATAGCAGCTATAGTGCTATGGCTACAATTTCACCAAATACAAGGCTAATCTACTCCTGGCCATACAGGATGCTGCCAACTTCACATTGGTTGTGTCCTGCTGAAGACATATAAAGAAGAAACCTTTGTTTGATTCTATTCTCAGTCTAGAAATGTAGGCTCCCCGCATTGGGACATTCTTGATGTCAGGCTCAGCTTTGTCATCCGTCTGCGTGTGGGTAGCAACTGTGTCCTCCCACTCAACACAACCTGATATCAAAGCCTTTCACATACTGGACAAGTAGGGGAACAGAGGCCTTAAGGTAAGACTACAAAACAAAATGATTTCCCACTAAACACCTGTTTGTTAGTTCCTGTGGGTCTCTACCTCAGCATTTTAACTATGATCTTTAATTAGTGCCCAAAGGTCTCAAGCAGAACAGCTGTTTGGAGATTTCATACCACCACGCAGAGATATCTAGACAGAGAGAAAATGAAAACAATACAAGGACCATCTCTCCATCTCCCTTCCTTCCCACTGATTGTCATATATGAACATATTGCTACATGCTAATGATCTGAATTGAAAATCTGAATTGTAATAATAAACCAATAGATGTCTGAGCTACATATTTGGATGTTTTAAACGATATTTCATACCATGAGAGACTAAACTTTGTTCTGGGGCATTAAATGCTTTAAAAAAATATTTAATTGTTACTTTACAGCTTTACAAAACAAAGTAAATGGATTTCCTTTGATGTGTTTTTGAAAGATTTGTTAGAGTACCATGCATCTGCAGAGAATATCAGAAAATATGCAATAACTTTACAGTATTTTTGCATTATGTCGGGCATAATGCAGATGTTGCGACCTTGAGCAGTGAACAGATGTTGGAGGAAATAATGCTGACAGAGCAGTAGAGGGCGGTATGACACAAAAGGAAAGAAAAAGCACATGGCTATTGAAAAATAAAGTGTTTTGAGGTTGTAAAAGCAGCAAAGATTTGAATGTGCATGTAAAACTACAAAGCGTTAAAAGCAGAAATAGAATAGAATCCAAATTAAAATCAATCAAAATGTAAAAAAAGGCGTGCTTTCCAAACAGTGGCCATATTAATAATAACAAAACACCAGCACTGATGAGGAGCAAAATGTCAGATCCTCATGTGCTTTTAGGTCCTGAGTGCAGATGGTTCAGATGGAGGTGGAGAAGGTGAAGGAGGTGCAGCCCCTCCTCCTCCTCCTCTCTCCTCCTCCCTCCTCTCTCCTCTCCCCTGTCCGAAGCCAAACCCTCGCTCACCTCGACACGGTGTCTCCAGCGCGCATCCCGGGTTTCTGGTTCACCCTCCCACCTCCCATCATCCAGGGGCCAGTTCGTCCAGTTCAAGTCTGAAACCTCATCATGACCTCGGCGAGAGCAGCAGCGAGGATGTCTCCACCAGGAACAGATTCATAACGCCAACTTGAAAAGGTAGGTTTGTGTTTCCTGAGCTGTTGAAGCAGTGGCTAGACGCCCCCACCATGTATGGCCAGTTTGCTATTTATCAGCTGAAAGTATTGATGTGTGTCTCGGTTTTCATGGTGAAGCGTTCAGCTCTTATTACTGCACCAGGCTGTGTGATTTACAATAAAGCTGCTCAGTTCATACAGTAGATACAGTCGTTAGTTTCAGATGTTTGAGGTTATAGTCTGGCATTAGTCATAACATTTTCCCAAAGTCAAAGTGAAAGTTACTGACTGTGTAGTGACTCCAGACATCAGTGCATTTCCTCTAATGGATGTGTAACGGAGCTTATGGTGTATAATTACATTTCAGCAGGCCATTTGCATTGGCTGCTGGTGTAACTTTGTTAGAGCTATTCTTGTCTTCTGTTGTTTCAGTTTGTTGTTTGGTGCTTTCTTGTGAAAGTAACTGATCTATAATCTTGTGGTTTTTACTGGGATGTCATACAGACACCAAAAAACCTGCATCAGTATTTGTTAATATACCAGAGGAGAGTAACAACTGCCCACTTAATTAGTATCTGAAGACGTGGTAATGTGTTGAGAATGTAGAGCACAGCAGACACTAGAGATTATTTAAAAAAATAACATCAATAAACAAAATAAAGACCACCGTATGTGTCTTATATGTTTAGCACACACATCAGCCTATCTATAAATTTCCTGCTCTAGAAAAATACGACTTACTTTCTGAGCAGGCCAGTTACATGATGACTTAACTTTGTTACAGTAGTTATTCTGGTCTACTCTTGTTCTCTGCTTCCTTGTGAAAGTAAGAATAGAGACCTAGCAGTACACTCGTAGTTCATTTGAACAGCATGCAGATATCACAAGAAATGATATTAGTATGTATTATGGTAGTGTATCAGAGGAGATTAAAAAGTCTGTTATTGAATTACTCCTTATGAAATACACAACCTGCCCCCAGAGCAGGCCAAGTGTAACTTTGTTAGAGTTGTTTTTTGTCTTCTTTTGGTTCAGTTTGTTGGTTAGCTTGATAGTAACAATAATCTTGGAGTTGATTGTTAATAGGACGTCATGCAAACCATAAAAGCTATGTTAGGATTTATTATAATATGTGAGATGGAGCTCATGCTGAACCGACTTAAGTACTACAAAACAAAGAAATGAAACAAAATGAAAGACCGCCGTTCCCCTGGGTACATCGCACCAAGAGGGTTTGTCTATCCAACTAGAACATTTATTTTGTTCTGCTCAAGAAGTGAGTACTGCAGACTCTACAAGAATATTATATATAAAGTACATCATGTATGTCTTTCGTTACGTTTGAGATGTGAGGTACTGGTGTTGCGGTTCATAGCCACACATTTGATTAAAGTTTTTTTTCAGCTCCAAATCCTCTTGAACTTCATCAGACTCCAGTGAGAGAGATGAAAGAAAATTCTGCCCAGAGGCCGAATTAAGGTGCTCAGATATTCAGTGTGTCCCCTTGGTGTTTTTTCGCTCTCTGGGTTACCAGCTTTATTTCATAAGGGCACCGCAGGTCTATAGGGTTATACAAGACCCCAGCTGACATGTGAAAGACTGAGGAGAGGAGAGAAGTGAGAGATCATGGCAAACAACCTTAATTCCACAGTCTCTATTAGATTGATAAAGAGGTGGGATACAGTGTAGAAAGTGAGTAGCATGCAATAAAAGAGGAGAGTGAATGACGGGGCAAGAGACGATGCTGGAAACTGTAGCTGAAAGCTGATAGGCCCAACTCACATGGAGAGAGGCAGAGCTGCTCTTTCTCAGGAGTATTGATTAGAGGCTCGCTGCCTCAAGCCCCTGTCTGCCATACTGTTTGTACCTTCTTGTGTGCACTACAAACCTTCTTGTGTGCACTCCAAACGCCTCACCTCTGCAGTCTCATCTATCATCTTTCTGACTCTTCTACACCGTTACTTAGCCGAGATAACACACAGTGAGCGAACGCAGTGAGATGTGTAATATTAACAGGTCAGCATAAATGGAAAGAGGGGAGTGTAGAGGGGAAAGTGAGGAGAAGAAGAAGAAAAATACCGCTCCATTACTCTTTCTCATCCATTATAGGAGGAGAGCGACAGTGGATCTGGCCCAAGCCACCAGGCTCCTGACACTATGTGCCACAGAGACAGATGCAGCTCTCTGCTGAATGTCATTTCCTCATTATAGCTCTAGCAGACAAGAGATGGTCTGGTGTGTGTCCTGTTGTGCAGCGGTTGTAAAGCCTGATTGATTTTCACTTTCTCTCTCTGTGAGATAAATACATGATTTTCACACCCTGAAACAAAAAGGACATGACAGAAAAAAACAAGGTGCATTACATGAATATATTCACACTTTTTTTTAAAGTGAGCACTGTGTCTCTCACGCTTTGTATCATAGGAGATATCTGTTTATATGGTTCTCACTACACCTGCTCTTCTACTATTTCTCTCCTCTGCGTACTCCTCATTTCCTCACTCCTAAGTTCCTTTCTTAACAATTAAGGCCACTTTTCTTCTGCTCTTCTTTCCCTCTGTAGACAATCCCATGGGCCATAGCAGAAGGCCGCCGGCAGAGTGGAGATGTTCAGAAAGAGGCCTCCTCCAGGTTAGTGCCTGACACTAAACACACTTTTCACTTTAGCATTTAGGTAATGGGGGAGTTGGAGTATCTCTTTGGTGGGAAAGCTCACAAGGCCCTCCAGAGTCTGGAGTTTTACCTGCTTTTAAGACATTACATATTCAACACATTGACACACAGGATGTATGGAGGATGGATTCTAATCTAATTGTCCAAACCAAGTCTGGAGGTGTTCAGGGATGCATTAAGAGCATGTTGAGCACAAGAGTTAATGCAGTCACGTGTTTAATCCATAGACTGAATAAATAAAAGTAGACGCAGTCTCTGTGACATCACCCATAGGTTTCTCAAGAGCCAGGTGTGAAGCTCAGTGTGGGTGGAGCTGAGGCGGCCTGAATGAAGCCTGGTTACTGAAAACAGTGATGGCACCCATCTGTCACTCAAAGTGGCCAATTCCTTTATTATGCATAACTTTGAACCTTCATAAATATAATTTAAACCCTGTACAGTTGTCATGAACAGGGAATGACAAACAGTATGCTGAGTTGTACATTCAATCTGACCTTTAGTATCTACATTCAGTCTGCATACAATATGCATATTGTTGCCAGTGCAAAGGGGACCACAGTGCAGAACATTAAGGTGACCCAAAATTTGCATTTTGACATGTAGTGTTAAATGGGACGTTTGAGTGTAAAGTCCATTCATGCTGTAATGGCATTCATTTTTGTTTTTTGCCCCTGAGGATGCAATTTTGAAGAATATGAATAAGAATCCTATCCATGATAACGTATGTCAATCACTCTGACGCATCTTTCCTGTCCCTCAAATCTGTTCTGTCTGAATAAATACAGGACTGCCTGTCAGTTTCATTACTCTAATGGGGCTAATATTGACTCTTAAAGGAGCAGTGTGTAGGATTTAGTGGAACCTAAACTAACTAACTGACAATGCTGAATGTATTTTGGTATGTATTTTACGACCTGGGAATGAGAATGGGCTGTGAAGTGTTCAGGAGAAAGGCCCTATCTACAACCAGTATTTAGTTTGTCCGTTCTGGGCTACTGTAGAAACATAGCTGTCTCTGTTGAAGGCGACCTGCAGAAACAAACACACAAGGATTACTATACTCAGGTGACTATACACTATTAAAATCATACCTATATAAATTATATTCAACTTCTACTAACAGACCCTTCTAAATGTTACACACTGGAGCTTTAAATGTATCAACATTAATGGGATAGATACTGATTTATTCTGCCAACCATAACCTGTAGTGATGGACATGCAAGACAGAAACATCACCTGCAGTTCCTTTGGTATGTGTGTGTGTGTGTGTGGTCGACAATCTTTAATGTATCAGCACGCACGAGGCTTGTAGCGCAGCACGTGCTCGGACACCTGCCTGGCCCGGCCCACTGCAGTGCACCTTCTCCCGTTCACACGCGCAGGAAACTGGAGTGCTGCACGAGCCATTTTGGCTCCGGGCGCCGCTGCCGTGCTGCAACCAGCTCCTGTTTTGCAGATCCAAAATGGCCCCCAGTTTCCTCACCCAGCGACTTGCTCAGCTGTGGGATCCCTGCAGAGGCGGTTGCCACGGCAACGTCCACCAAGCCCAGAGCCTGTGTGGTTACGTAATGCCTACAGCGGCCAGTGTTTATGTTGTGGATGAGACTTAATGCTGAGGTTGCGGACTTGGCACATGGATGCGTCAGTTGATTGATGAGGCAAAGACAAAAAAACACTGCTAATGTGCGTTTGTGCGACAAAAACTTTACAACCGTTAGGATATGTCTATTTTCTATTATAAATACATTTAATACTTATAATTCATTTAAATCTGAAGCAGTCAGAGCCTGTGTCTAGCGACGGATTAACCGTGAAGTTGCTGACTGACCTTAAGTATAAATAATGACCTCAGTGTTTCTGCGGCAGGAGGGAGAGAAAATAGAGCAAGGGATGGACCAAGTGTGTGTGTGAGTGCGTGCATGTGTGCGTGCTGCGCGAGAGGCAGCAACAGAGAGGCAGGGATGGGACGGTGCGCGGTTAATCCAACTTCACCGAAGTTGGGACCGGAGCTTCATGCCCGCGTCCTTTGCGGAGATGCGGCGGTCATCTGTCACTGAAACAGCGCACATGTAAGGAGAATTTAGACGGTGACTGTTAGACAATCAAGATGACAATACTGAAAGACATCCCGGAGAAATGGTTTCCAATCGTTCTCCCCCTGCAAAGAAAGAAAGAGAGAGGACTGAATGGAGCCAAATCGAAACAGAAGCGGACAGGTACGAGTTTTTGTGTGAGCATTAAGGCAGCGGTTTGACTTTTTGTTGTCCCAGTGTGTTTACATCATCACGAGGCTGTTGATTGCACAAACTGCGTCTCACAGTTTTTCAAATAAACACCATTCCCCATCTTCATCCCTCCTGAATCCAAGTTTCATTCCTGCTTTTTCATGTCACTCACCACATCTAATACTTAAGTGTGTGTTTGTGTATGTGCGTGTACACTGCACATTGCATCCTATTACATGGCTGCATAACAGACCTGACTGGGTCTGCTGGTCCTGCACTGAGCTTTCTCATTCTGTTTATCAGACACCAGCATCTGGCATCAACGGCCAAACAGCAGATTTAATATCTGAGGGGAAAAAACAGTTGTCATTCATCATACTAGTTACTGTTAAGTCTGGACTTCTTCCACTGCCAACATTGTGTCACCTTTGTTTTTGTTTTTCTGAGATAACCTGTCTGACTCAGTTTTAGCTGTTTTCATGTTTACTGCTGATTATGAATGTGTTTACGTGAGTGGGATGAGCATATGTAAACAAAACTGAGTTATCTGAATTTTGTGTCCTTGTCTCTGCTGCCTGAGACACTGATCAATCCTCCAGGCGCCAGCCCCTGCTGTAACTGCACTGCCTCGTCTGTGTCCTTATTCCTTAGCTTAACTATCACAAATCACTCTGGATGTGCACCTTCATTTGACCTCCAGCCCATCAGTCTGTCACTGTGTCACTCGCATCCGTTTCCAAAAAATTAGATCACTGCGTGTGCGCGCGTGAGTGCATGACTGCAGACAATTCCACCATCCCATTTTCATCTAATTAAATCAGCCACAGTGAGAGTGATGATCACTTCTGCGTCTGAGTCTGATCCTGACTTCAGTCATGGCAAGGACAACAGCGTTTCCCATATCTGAGATTGACTGTCTTCTTAGGTCATTATTGTTATGACTTCAATCTGTGTTCACTGTGAAAGTGTGTCACTGTCGCTCATGGAGACATAAGGAGATTCTGAGCTGGCACGTGCCCTCACATGTCCAGTCATGGGGGGCGGGGGCAGATGGGGGGAGTGTTAAAGAGACAGGGGGCTGGATGAAAGAAAATGAGTGCTTTTGGATTAGGCTACAGTCATTTTATATAAGATTGCATGATATTAAGTATGTGAGTTTGAATCAATATTTATGTACTCCTTCATGTCTCATTTGTGTATGGAAACCCTACGCTCACAGCAAAGTAAGCCTGCAGCTGAAGGTTTCTCAGTAATGGAGCTTTATAGATTTATACAGACTTGCTGTGTAGCATCTAGTCTGCGTCAGGGCTTCTAATGCCCTTGAAGCTGTCAGAGGCATTAAACACTTAATAGGCATTTTGCTAAAGATGCTCATGCATTCAGGCTGCTCAGGTTGGTCAGCCTGCACAGGAGCGACAGACACCGCCTGATCCCGACATCAGATGCTGCTCGGTTTCACGGTGCTTACCTGGCACAAACGGTTTTTCCCTCTTTGCGGAGGGTTAATGCAGCCTTGGCACAGCCTGTCAGACAGATCTCTCTGGTGAACACTTGCCCCAGAAAGCAACATAACGACCTTCAGGTAGACGAGACAAGTTCCAGAGGGAAAAGGAGAGAGGAGGGCCGGGGGGGCAGGATTGGAAGAGTTTCAAGAGACTAGATGTTGGGAGGATGTGCACCTACACGATCAGACAAATCTGATATTGTTATACTAACCAGAGTTTAGAGGAGAGGACATATCAAATACCGTCAGCCCAGAGCTGTGTTCTTTTTTACACACACACTCAAAGTCTAACAGCTGAAATATACCCTCACTCAAATTAACTCACTCGTATGTGAGAGTTATTCCCTAAATACTCTCTCTGAAAGGTACATTAAATCTTTTTTATATTTTCTATCTTACATTTTGACCAATAAAACAAGAATATTTTCACTATTGTTTATTGTTAGTTACATTTAAGATTATTACTGTTACATAGAGTTGATATACAGTGAGATGATTTGAATTAGATTTAGTCATATTAATACCGTGGAAGCTATCCCTTTAATATTTTTGGGATGAAGTTGTGGGCAACTACTGCCGATCAATAAACAGGGCAGCTTTATAGTGTTATTTAATTGTTATGGTTTTTGCACCAATGTGTTGAGGTATCTTGATTTGTCACATGTTTAACATCCTTGATACGTTAAAAACAGTTTTTCTATCAATACACATTTTCTCAACAGAAAATGTACCATATAGGATATATCAATATATAGCTATTGATATATAATATATATCAAACATAGTATTCGGTATATCAATATCACGATATAAAATAACAAACACTATGATAGAGGATATTGTCTGCTCATTCTGTTACACTTGTAACTTTTCTTAGGCATAAGCATTTGATAGCGACTTGAAATGTAAAACAAAGGGAGAGATGGCAATAATTTGTATTTTCTAACATGACTAAATCCACTGTGACAATAGCCCAGCAGGTTGGTCGTTGTACTTAAAGCTCACCTGCTGCACCAAATCTGTTTTATAACCCAACAACAAACGGGAGCTCTTATTGGGCTCTCTTTAAGTGGCCTGTGTTTGTTTGGTGAATCTGAACACAGCAGAGACACAGACTTTCTGTAAGTAGTGAGCTGTACGGGGTAAACAGGCCTGAACAATGCTGCAGAAACACAGGAAACCACAGGTCTTTGTTTATGGGTGTGCATGTGATTGAAATGGTTATGGCCTCTGTTGTGTGATGTCCCTTCCTGTGGTGCCTCATTGCCTCTCAGCCGTCAGTCAAAAGTGTGTTAGGGACTTTGTGGTTTCTGAGCTGCAGTGCCTCTGTGCATAACATATGCTTTGGTCCTGAATTTTATATCTGTGTGTGCGTGCGTGCATTTAATTTAAAAAGCAGCCTCATCAATATTAGAGGAGACAGGCCTGGTGGAGGAGGAGGGGAACTCCCAAACTACTTTGCATCAGCATAAACAGAAACCTAAAAACAGCAAGAGGATAAAGAGCAGGGTCAGGAGGGGAGGCGCACAACAGCTTGAGCACCAGAGGAAGACATTTTTATTTCAGGCTTTTATTGTCAATAGATTTAAGTCTGCACATAAGTATAATGGATGCAATGCTTCGTCTGTGACTACCTGGAATGGGTCCCAGTGCTCCCGTTGACTCATACAGATGTACACACTCTCATCTGTGGTCACATGTTGCATATCTGGCCAGGATTGTACATCCGGTCATTAAGAGACAGAGGCAGCAGCCAATTAAAGAGCAGGCGTAGCTGGTCTGACTATTAGTTCTGGTGTGTGTGTGTGTGTGTATGTGAGACAGAATGATTATGTCTGACCCAATGCTTGACTTCCAGCAGACTCCAGCTGCATTGATTTATAAATTAACGCAAAAATAGTGGACTATTTGTCTCCTTCACTCTCTTTCTCCGTTTCTCTTTCTTACAGATATTGACATTCTTTAGGAATTACAATTTGTCCTTGTATGCCCTTTTACACACACAGATGCAGCAGTTTGGGTGCTTTCTGTATAGCTTTGCTGTGGTATTATCCTTTTATGACTTATTTCATGTCCTGTGTTTCTTCAGAGGAGGAGAGAAGGGTCAGAGCCAATGACAGAGATTACAATGAAAAGTTTCAGTACGCGGTAAGTGTACACATTCCAAAATATGGATGCTGTCATTAAAAATGACCAACGAATCAAATATTTGTTGTAAATATTGTGAAGGTCCATAAAAGTCTGTTTTTCCTTTCTCCTCATCCAGAGTAACTGCATTATGACATCCAAGTACAACATCATCACCTTCCTGCCGGTCAACTTGTTTGAGCAGTTCCAGGAAGTAGCCAACACCTACTTCCTTTTCCTACTCATACTGCAGGTGAGGAGAGGGGGTAAAGGAGGGAGGGAGAGAAAAAGAGAGACTATGTGCATTTGTCTCTTTGTGTGTGGGTGCAGCTAGTAGGTGATAGGTGATAATAAATATAACAGGGATGGTAAAACATATTAGGAGATGGCCATAGGAAAATCAACTCTGTGAGATGTGATGACGTGCCATCAGCCTCAGCTGTAGATTGTCATTGTGAGTGTGTTAGCATGCTCACTAGCATGGCTGCTGTTAATCAGTCTTGTTATGTTTTAACCTCAGGTAAATGATAATATACTCTTCTATATACGGTGGAACTTGTGTAGTTTAGTGCTTATTGAACATTTTTTAAAGCATGGTGGGGAACCCTAAAATTAGATGCTCAAGCTAAAAACCAGGCTTTCTTCTCTGAGATTATTCACCTATCAGTAAACACATGTTAACTTAAACTGAAATGAATGTGTTAGTGAATTGCTGTTTACCTGCCCACTTGGACTGTCTTACCAGAACCTGAACACACAGTATGGTACAGTCAGGTGCACTCAGGTCCTTAAGGGGCTCAGTGGTCTGCTGTGTCAGATTTAAACTAATCTGCAACTCACCGTACTCTCTGTCTCTGCCTAGTTAATACCTCAGATCTCCTCCCTCTCCTGGTTCACCACCATCGTGCCTTTAGCTCTGGTGCTGAGCATCACTGCAGTAAAGGATGCCACAGACGACTATGTGAGCATGTTTCTTTCTCTTCTTGCTTGTGGCAGCATAACGGATATTAAATAAATTAAATAACAAACAACAGTGAAATACAGGTCAAGGATCCTGATTATTTCTAGCAGAATGTAGTGTGCTAACAGAAAAGTTCACAGTGACCTTTGTCTCCTGCAGTTTCGTCACAAGAGCGACAACCAAGTGAACAACCGCCAGTCTCAGGTCCTCATCCGTGGCTCGTAAGTCTCCTGTCTTGTCATTTGCAGCCAAGCACTCACCAGCTATTGCTTCCTCAAGTCTGCTAATTGTAAAATTAATCATTCATGTTTTATCAGTTTTTCTTTACAAGGTTTCCTAAATTACAACAATTTACTATCTTCTCTAACTCTCTTTTCTCTTTACTCTTTCTCTCTGTTTGGCTATTTCAGGCTACAGAATGAAAAGTGGATGAATGTTCGAGTGGGTGATATCATTAAACTGGAAAACAACCAGTTTGTGGCAGTAAGTTTGTGTCCAACACAACAGTGTGCACAAACACACACAGTGATTTCAGTTAAGAATTTATCTACAAATCTAGCAGTGGACTGTTCAAGGTTCAGCCTGCAACTCTTTAGTCATTTTAGATATGTACTGTATATGATTATGATGGCTATTTATACTGTATTGTGGACCAAAAGCTATAATGCTGAATGGATTTCAGTATAATGTGCCATATTAGGCGACACTAGCTACATTACTAACTTACTAACTACATGCAAATACTCAAATTTTTATCATCATTGTGGCAACTCAGTCTTACTAATTCTGTGCAGTGCAGTGGATGCTAACCTCAGTTACTATATCTATTTTCAGGCTGACCTGCTCCTGTTGTCCAGCAGCGAACCTCATGGGCTCTGTTACATTGAGACAGCCGAGCTGGACGGGTCAGAAAACACACCACACCTTGCCAACGACTCACAGCACCTCACAATCTGCAGAAGCAACAGGACACTACATCTAAATTGCTGTGTGTTATATTATCTTGCAGAGAGACCAATATGAAGGTGCGTCAGTCTGTCTCAGTGACATCTGAACTTGGAGACCAGAACAACTTGGCTTCGTTCGACGGTGAGATTTGAGAAAGCTCATCTTCGTTTCTCAGTTTCGGGTTTGGTTCATCTTCCTTTCTCGATAATATAAAGGTCAACAGTTTTCAGCCTGCGTCTGAGCATTTAACAGAAACATTATCCACCTTCACACCCTTCCACATGAGCAGAAAGATGAACAAAACATACACACACACACACACACACTCTCTGCCCTCCTCTGCCAGCACTGAACGACAGCCTATCATCACCCGCCCACTAGTACACGCAACAAAAGACTTCTGTGTCAGCACAGCACGCCCACACACACTCCTCACCTGCTCAGGAAAATGCATCACTGCAGCAAATCAACCCACACTTTGCCTTACAAAATATGTGTGTTTTGGACTTTTGGTGTGTGTTTATGTGAGAGACAATGGCATGATGTCATGGGGATGATTGTTCAACACTATATCATATAGCTGAGAAAATTAAACTAATACTGTAATTGGAATTGGTGGATGTCTATGATATAGCATCTGATTTAGATTTGTGTGTCTTTGTGTGTTAAGGGGAGGTGGTGTGTGAGCCCCCCAACAACAAGCTGGATCGTTTCTGCGGGACTCTGTACTGGCGAGACAAAAAATACACCCTGACCAACCAGAATATGCTGCTACGAGGATGTGTCCTCCGCAACACGGAGGCCTGCTACGGCCTGGTCATCTTCGCAGGTTTGTGTGTCAGCAGATACATGTGTGTGAAAGTATGTGACGTGTAAAAGGTTTAACTTCCAATGTTTTTGTCACAGGCCCAGATACTAAACTAATGCAGAACAGCGGCCGCACTAAGTTTAAGCGTACGAGTATCGACCGCCTGATGAACACTCTGGTCCTCTGGGTAGGACACTCCAAACCTCTCACTTTCATGTCTTATAAACTATTTCAGGACTTGATCTCAGTGGCTTGAATCTAGTTTCACATCTCCTCTCACATAGAATGTATGCTATACTTATTTGGGCTCAACTGACCAGATCTAAATGTATAATTGGATTTATAAATTTGTTTAAAAATGTTTCTCCATATGTATGTTTATGTCAGATCTTTGGCTTCCTGGTGTGTATGGGTGTGATCCTGGCGGTGGGTAACGCAGTGTGGGAGAGAGAGGTGGGCTCCCTGTTTCAGAGCTATCTGCCCTGGGACCCTCCTGTAGATAACTTCCTATTCTCAGCCTTCCTCTCCTTCTGGTCCTACGTCATTATTCTCAACACCGTGGTGCCTATCTCTCTGTATGTCAGGTGAGGAGAAGTCCAAGACTATAAAAAGTGTGTGTAGTAGTAAGTAATGCTGTATGTCTTAGCAGACAGTTGTTTACACCAATTTGGTTGTCACCACATTATTGTGACCCGCTGGCATTAGGCACACAGATTGCAATTGAACAGTGACTGAATACACAAAAATACAAATGTAAATGGACCAAATGAGCAGTGAAGATTGCCCAAACCAGATCTTCAATTAGTCTATGCATTTTTAGTCCACAAACAACCACTATTTATGGTATATAAGCTTTATATGCATATCTATAAGTTCAGTACAATAAAATAATAATAAAAACCCTAACGTGCAAAAAAAAGCAAACTCGTGAAGAGAAGCAGGAGTATGTGGAGGTCTGAAAATGAATAATTTCTGTAACAAAAACCCAAGTGCTCACACAGCCAAAAAATAATGAATCAATGCCCTTCTTACACAACAACAAGCTGCAAATATTCCATGCAGTCAAGATAGGGAATACAAGTTATGCATTTGTCACATAAGTGTTTTAAGACATATAAATATCTAAATAAAAATACTCTGCTTTGAAAAATACTCATTTATCTAATTCTTAAAATTACATTTACTCCTCGATTATTAATTAATCTACAATATGCAAATATTCATGATTTCAAATGTTTAACATTTACACAAGATGTCTCCTATGAAAAGTCCGTCCTTAGTGTATGTGCATTTCAGGAATTTCCACATCGTGCTTTCGTACATGTAAGTTGTGTATATACTTGGAAAATGATATGCTGCCAGACTAGCAACGATGTCAAAGAACCCGTTTGTATGCGCACATATTAGACTGAGGCCAACCTGAAGTATTAACTGAGTAGTGTTAAAGAACGTAAATCGTGCAGCGCCTGGTAGAGTCCTTACTGCAGTGGCCTGGGATTGATTCCCACCTGCAGCCCTTTGCTGCATGTCTCCCTCCCCCTTTCCTGTCTATCCTCAATTATCCTATTAAATAAAAGCATAAAAGCCGCAAACTTATCTTTTTCTCCTTCTGCTATTATAACCATGTCCCTCTCTCTCCTGTCTGTGTATCAGTGTGGAGGTGATCAGGCTGGGTCACAGCTACTTCATCAACTGGGACCAGCAGATGTTCTGCTCGCAGTGTAACACAGCAGCTGAGGCCAGGACCACCACTCTGAACGAAGAGCTGGGCCAGGTGGGTATCCACACTTTCATCTTTATTGATTGTCTATTCAGCCTATCCATCCATCCATCCTTCCCAGTTGCTGCTGGATTCTTTTGACACTCAGTTAATTGATCTTAAATTCTTTTAAAAATACATTTCTACTAATCTTTCAATACATTCTTCAGTAACTGAATGGAACCACTTGTTCCTAACTGCACAAATGAAAAGCACCTGCAGACTAAAAGGAATCTAAATTCGGAGACGAGAAGACTTCACTGATTGCTGTGAAGAATATATCACTCAGTGGTGCTGTAGTTAGTGTTCAGTATTTCAATGTCCCATCCTAAACCCATTTTAAGCATTTTAGTGAAAAATACATGACAAGCAGACAGGTGGAGAAGATAGCTTTGGTCCTGTATCTTTATTTTTATATAAGAGTAAGTTTTTAAAACATGGCTATAATCTTAGTTTTACTTTTACTTTGTTTGCATAATTTTAGATTCAGTTTTATCATTTATATGGTTTCCTTTAGGTTGAATACATCTTCAGTGACAAGACTGGAACCCTCACTCAGAACATCATGAGCTTCAATAAGTGCTCCATCAATGGACAGACGTACGGTAAGTGTACACACACATACACACATACACTCAGTGGCCGCTTTATAAGGTACATCTGTTCAATCTATTGCAATTCAATATACCGCTCTGCCTTAAATTTGACCTGTACAAAATGTGTAAATGCAATTATATGCGTATTATCGAGGTCAGAGTTAAATGTGTTGTTGTACTGGAGTGCATTATGTTGAGAGGTGTTGAGAATTTTTGTCCTCCCATAACCATCACCACTAAGTGCTAAAACATATATTTTAATGAACACTTGACAGTATGAGATTGTCGACAGAAACAGAACATTATAGCTATCATAAAAATACTATATGGCAGAACAGTTATACTAGATTGCATTAAATTGTTGACCACTGCACTACAAAGTCTTATACTGTTTTCTTCTGTGCCACTGTCAGGTGAATTGACTGACCCGTTGGGACCTCAGCCGAAGGTAATTAGTCATTTTTATCACACTGAAAGGCACATATGTGTATATATGTACTCCTAATTAATGGAGTCCCTGACTCTCAATTCATCTTTAGAGATTGGACTTCACTCCCTTCAACCCCCTCGCGGACCCAAACTTCTGTTTTTATGACGACACCCTGCTGGAATCAGTGAAAGTGGGAGACTCACATACTCACGAGTTTTTCCGCCTGCTCTCCCTCTGTCACACCGTCATGAGTGAGGAGAAGAGTGAGGGTGAGCAAGGGGTGGGAAATCTGGGAGGTTGAATTGCAGCAAACATTGATAACAACACCATCTATCTGTTATTCATTGTCAATTATTTATCATCTTTATTATCATTTTATCTCTCTCACCAGGAGAGCTGGTTTATAAGGCTCAGTCTCCAGATGAGGGCGCTCTAGTGACAGCAGCTCGGAACTTCGGCTTTGTATTTCGCTCCCGAACACCTGGGACGATAACCACCACAGAGATAGGACGACCTGTCACCTACACTCTGCTTGCAATCCTGGACTTCAACAACATACGCAAACGGATGTCTGTTATAGGTGTGCAGGGATCATCACTTCTTAATCATATATATAAATAATTGGATTAAAACATTATTAATAAAACAATCTGGATGAAATTAGATTTCAAAAATGTACCTGCCTTATTATGACTCTGTAGTTTAACCATAAACCACCAGAAACTCTGATGCATAATGTGTGTAATCTCCCCAATTCTTCCTTTATTTTCTGTTGCCTGAAGATTACTTTCTTGTCATTAGGCACCCTTACTAATTAAAGGCTGCAGTGATGAGCCACAATTCACTGTAAAATGAGTTTAAACCAGTCTGGGATCTTGGACTATTTAAACACAGCACCCATTAACACATCAGGGGCTGTTTTCTGTGGTCATAGAAGGCATCGTTGCAGTGGACTCATCTGATAAATTTAGCTTTTTAAATATGTTTATAAATCATTAGCGACACTCCTACGAACTGACAGGAAATTGGGCCATTCGTCATAGTTTACATTTCATCCCTCAGTGAGATTTCACTGTGTGTTCCTGCGATTGGTCTTCTTGTAAGGTGCTGGAAAACTGCCCAGAAATCCCTGGTCATAAATCACTCTTGTCTTAGCAACAACTTTGGTCTAGCAACAGAGCAGCGGGACCAGAAGGCACTGAGCACACATTCATACATCAGAGCCAGACGATATTCAGTCAGATAGCCTGTATGTAGTAATGACATTTGTTAAAGCTGAGAAAGAAGTGTCTGATTATTTGAAGGCAATGGAAGAGCTGTATGGATTCCTTGGAGTATTTTGTCTTCATCACACTCTGTTAATTATCTTCAGTGCGTAACCCAGAGGGCAGGATCCGTCTGTACTGTAAAGGAGCTGACACCGTGCTGCTGGAGAGACTTCACCCCTGTAACCAGGAACTGATGAATATCACCTCAGACCACCTCAATGTGAGTAAACACACTCAAGCACAACATCTCTTGGATGGAGTGGACTGAGCTGTACTGCCATCTAGTGTCCCCATAGTAAAACAGCAAAGCCTTCACTCAGCATCTATTTTTTCCTAATCAGATCATGCACACTACCTTGACATGAGGCAGACACTGATTGAATTTGGACCCAATGATAGTCCCATACCGATAAGACTTATTTGTTTCTCCTCATGTGTTTGTACATGTCTGCGTGTATTGTATTTGCCTCTAGGAGTATGCAGCAGACGGTTTGCGGACGCTGGCGCTGGCCTACAGGGACTTGTCAGAGGACGAGTGGGAGGCGTGGTCAGAGAGCCACCGATGCGCCGACAAAGCCACCAACTGCAGAGAGGACCGACTGGCAGCCGCTTATGAGGAGATAGAACAAGACATGATGGTTAGTGACTTGGTCTTAAGAGTGTGCATACATTGGTTTTGTGGTGTGTCTTTCATTTTCATTTTCGTGGAACAGCAGGACATTTGTTTCTCACTCAATTTATTCCTTCCGCAAACGAAATAAAAATAGCACTATAAGAAAAGGGAACTTGGGTTTAGCTGGCTGTATCGTCCAGACTCTAATTGTTGCAGGGAAATTCCATTATTTTACTGTAGCTAAACGCTGTCAGATCTTCTCAGTGCAGGATGTTGTTAAATTTATGGTGGATTTTAGCGTTGCAACTGGCAGCTATTTTTCATTGATTAATCTTAGGTGACGTCCTCAAATGTCTTGTTTTGTCCACAACCAAAACACTCAGTTTACTGCCATAGAGGAATAAAGAAACCAGACAAATATTCACATTTGAGAAGCTGAAATCTGAGAATTTGGACATTTGTTATTAGAAAATTACTCAAAACTATTTATCAGTTATCAAAATAATTGCTGATTAATTTCGTAGTTGACAACTAATCGATTACACAACTGATCGTTGCAGCTCTAGCTGATTTAATAAATGAGTTGAATTTGTGGTGTGTGTGTGTATGTGTGCGTGTTTGTGTGTTTCTCTCTGTCTGTCTGCCTGTGTGTCTAGCTCCTGGGTGCCACAGCTATAGAGGACAAGCTGCAGGAAGGCGTCCCAGAGACCATTGCTGTCCTCTCACTGGCTAATATTAAAATCTGGGTTCTCACTGGAGACAAGCAGGGTGAGACACACACTTTTACACACACTTCCTCACACACACAGAACTTTGCATGCAGTTATTTAAAAAGCACAATCATTTGCAGAGAACCAAACAAAGAGATTATTCTTTTATAGAGATGGCGGTAGCACACTACTGTAAAGCTTAACTCAGCACGCCATCTATTCAGCATCCGCATGCTTACTGTCTGCAACATTGATGCGTACATAAAATGAAACTCTTGTTTGCACTGGGAACAAACCCACTGCAAACAAACATGACCAACATAAAACCAGGCACACCTGCACATTCCCTTGATGGAACAATCAGATTCTAATTCAGTCTAACCAGCATACACTGGCATTTGTTTTACATGTTTACTATAATGCCACCCATTGAGAAGCAGAACAGCAATATAAAGGTTGTGTTCCTCAGACAAGCACGCCATCTATTCAGTGGCCATGTGCATACAGCAAGAGTTTGCTGGTGAGCATAATATCCTTCACACTGACCAAGAACCAAAAAGCCTGGGAAAAATTTAAAAAAATTACAATGATTTTTTGTGTATTGTCAACTTTCAATCCACCTGAGCTCTCAGTCTGGCACCTGTTCTGTTTATCATGCATTTCAAATAATCTGAAACTCTGCACTCCACTAACCCACTCGCTTTCTCTCACATAGAGACGGCTGTAAATATAGGTTACTCCTGCAAGATGCTGACAGACAATATGACAGAAGTGTTCATCATCAGAGGACACACTGTGCAGAGCGTACGACAGGATTTCAGGTCAGTATCTCTGTCAGCTGCATGTCCGTCTTTCTCGCCAGCTGTCTGGTGTCTCAGTTTCTCTACACTGTGGGAACCACGCTGAACAGAAATGACAAAAGCCAGGTGTGGTTAGAAATAAACTAAGATGTGTATGCATGATTGGAGTGAGTAGGTGTGGTAGCACAGTGTTACAACTACTGTACCAGGGTTACTGAACAATATCTTGCTTAACCCACACTTTGATTTAGCCACTATGGTTAAATCAACACATTGCACACATGGCTCTTAAAAGGTTGCATACAGTTTCTATAACTTGTGTAAAGTGTTGAGATGAGTTTAGTTGAGCTGCAGGAAAGTCAGGGCAACGCACAACACATCCTACTAATGATACCTACGTGATTAAAACATTTTAAAATACCACAAATAAAGATGACACTGAGCTAAACACAAAATGACAGTCAAAAGCCTAAGTATGCACAAAAATATATAGCAAACCAACCACATGATTCCTTGCGGGCCCATCCAGATGTTGTTTGTGTGACGCATAAATGAACATACTGTACAGAGTGCTGCACTGATTCAGTCGATACATAGAGGTAGAGGTCAGAAGCTGAAACATCAGCAGTAACAGCAAGGTCTCAACACAACTTGTTACAGTAATTTTCCTCCTTGATACCCCTGACATTAACCTCCTCTTTTTCAATGTTGCCACTTTGCTATTTTTATCTCTTTGATTTGTTGTTTGTCAGCTGTGTCTGCTTTCCTTCTTCCTCTCTCATCTCTCCTGTTTTCTCCTCTATACAGTCATGTTGTGTTTAACTTCTGTTTTTGTGGCGTAGACGAGCCCTGTTGATGTCGAGTTTGTTTGTCCTCCTCTCCAGGAGGGCTAGGGAAAAGATGATCGAGCTGTCACGAACCAGAGATGGAGGGAAGGAGGAGGGGATAGAGGGATGGGGAGAGTCATGCTTCATGGGTAATGGGTTCAGAGAAGGACAAGAAGGAGATGGTACAGGGGGAGAAGGAGGGAAACAGCTGCAGTGCCCTCCTCCACCTCCCTCCAACCTCATGGACAACATCTCTGGAGAGTTTGCCCTCGTAATCAACGGTCACAGTCTGGTATGAATAACACGCCCCCACACTGACACACTGTACACATACACATATACAAAACCAGCAGGGGCCATGAAGAATTAAACTGTCAACTGTCAGGAAATAGTGAGTTGCCAGAAATATGTTATTTGCATCAACAAACATATTCTCCTTCTACTTAAAGTACTTTTCTAGCATCAGCTGCAACCCCTTACCATTTATCCCTACAACTTCTCGACTCTCTTTCCTGTTCTTTGACAGGCCCATGCATTAGAAGCAGACATGGAGATGGAGTTTGTGTCGACGGCGTGTGCGTGCAAAGCAGTGATTTGCTGCAGAGTCACTCCGCTGCAAAAAGCTCAGGTGGTGGAGCTTATCAAGAAACACAAGAAGGCCGTCACTCTGGCTATAGGAGACGGAGCTAACGACGTTAGCATGATCAAAAGTGAGTTGTGCAGGCAGGATCAATGGCGCAGAGCCGAGGTGTAACTGGATTATTGTTGAGATGGAGAGGAAAACCAAAAGGAGAAGTAGGGTTTAACCATGTGGGTGCCAGCGTCTACATTTAAGCAATGGCAATTCTCAGAAGAAGTAGTAGTAGAAGTTGTTTATCGGCATGGTGTGGCTAGTAGTGAGAAAGGTTGTGTAGAAATGTGTGATGTCTTCATCAATTTAGGAACTGGTTTCTTAGTGTCTTCAACGTGGTTAAACCTCACTGACCCACAAGTTGCCCACTTATTACGCTGTGCAGACAAACATTGTTCAAACCCACAGAACCTATTTTGAATTCTAGTGGAAAACCCAAAGTTTCCAAACATGCCAAATGTGTCAGACTGAGTTTGAATATTTCATGGCTTCGTTAAGAGTTGGAAGAAGGTGATTAAAGAATGGTAATGCCTGTCAGTGTTGGATAAGATGTTTTTTGTATCCTTAAAGCTGCTTCAGGGAAAACATCCTGCATGTTAAAGGGTCAAACCAATGTTCTGCTTCTCTAAGTGCATTTGTAATTTTCTGTGTTTTGTAAGTGTTGCATCACCTTGCGTGTTTGTCTGTGTATGTACGTCATATGTTTCTTCAAATGAATTTATATAAGTACAAAGCAGAAATACAGCCAATGCGCAGTGATAAGTGGGGTTGCTTCATATCCTGTGATTTATGGCTTTAAATCTCAAAATAAGTGTTTATTTTATCTGTACTAGAGCCCTCCGCAGGTCTTAATCCAGCTCCCACCCACCACCAGTGAATTTTGACTTGACTATTCATGCCTGTACAATAAAGATTTTGTGTCTTCTCCTGTCCTGCAGGTGAAAGACGTTATTTTACAGTGACAGTGACACCTGAGAAATTTCTCCAAATGTCAGACTTTTTAGTTTTTTTGAAAAACCCACTTTAATCATCTTTTCAACTTCATTTGTTGACTCCATCCCCACCCTTCTAGATTAAAGAAAGCCAAAAAGTCCAGTTTTTCCATGTTTAGCCAGTTTTATCTGACTTACTTTCCTTTCTCTTTTTCTCTATCTCTCTCCACTCCTCCAGGTGCTCATATTGGAGTTGGTATCTCAGGTCAGGAGGGGATCCAGGCCGTCCTGGCCAGTGACTATTCCTTCTCCCAGTTCCGCTTCCTACAGCGCCTCCTGCTGGTGCACGGCCGCTGGTCATACCTGCGCATGTGCCGTTTCCTCTGCTACTTCTTCTACAAGAACTTTGCCTTCACCATGGTGCACTTCTGGTTCGGCTTCTTCTGTGGCTTCTCTGCACAGGTTAGGTTATGAGGACATCTTAAGATCAACAATCGGGTTGAGAAATTGTAATCATAGTTTTCACTTTATCACTTTATCTGTGTTTGTGTGTGCATCTCTTCTGTTGTGTAGACGGTGTATGATCAGTACTTCATCACTCTCTACAACATTGTCTACACGTCCCTCCCTGTGCTGGCCATGGGGATATTCGACCAGGTCTGTTCAAATTATAACTACATATAGATAGATGTACACGTGCTATATTGTTTCCATGAAATTGAATAACCACATTTTAAATTTAGTTTAAGCCAGTAGATTAACACTAGCGAGACATGGCAATGTCGGTCTGTTGGTCTGTCATTCCATCACTCTGGACCACACTGATATATCTCAACAACTATTGAAAGGATTGCCATTAAATCTGGCAGACATACATGGTCCCCGGAGGATAAAGCCTTCTGACTTTGGTGATCCCCTGACCTTTTCTCTTTTGCCACAATGAAGTCAACATTTGGGTTTTGACTGAAATGCCTTGCCTAGCAACTACTGAATGGATTGCCATGACATTTCTTACATTAATCGTGATATTCAGGATGATTGCGATAACTTTGATAATCCTTTAAAGGTCCAGTGTGTAATATTTAGAAGGATATATTGGCAGAAATTAAATATAATATTCATAGGTATGTTTTCATTATAGTATAATCACCTAAATATAGGAATTGTTGTGTTTTTGTTACTTTAGAATGAGCTGTTTTTATCTACAGAAAGGCACCATAGAGTCTGTCATGTTGAACAGACAAAGCAAGCACTGGCTGTAAATAGGGCCTTTTATATTTTTTGCAACAGCCACCGTAGCTTCTCCTACACACTTTACAGCCCGTTCTCAGTCCCAGGTCATCAATTACAGATGCAAGCATTGTTCAGTTAGTGGCAATCTGCAACTTCACCACTAGATGCCACTAATTCCTACACACTGGTCCTTTAACTTTTCATCTAGCACCATCATCAGGGCAAACTTTTAACTTCAAATATCTGCAAACTAATAACATCAGCTGTAACCTACTTTGTGTGTAGTACTAATTAACAAATCTTAGCATGCTAACACACTAAACAAAAGTGGTGAACATGGTAAACATTATACCTGATAAACATCAGCGTGCTCGCATTGTCATTGTGAGTATGTTGCTGACATTAGCTCAAAACACCGCTGTACCGAAGTATAGCACACAGCTGCTAGCATGTCAGGTATTTACTGGGTTTATTTTATGAAAAATAACAATTCCAGGTCATTTTTGTGGTTACAACATAGCAGGACAGTGTACTTTTAGTGAATGCAACTCCTCACCTTCTCTCTTGTTGTAGGATGTTCCTGACCAGAGGAGTTTGGAATATCCTAAACTGTATGAGCCTGGACAGCTCAACCTCCTCTTCAACAAGAGAGAGTTCTTCATTTGCATCGCCCAGGGCATCTACACATCAGTGGTGCTGTTTTTTGTCCCCTGTGCCGTCCTGTCCGACGCCACACAGAGCACCGGAGTGCCCCTTGCTGACTACCAGACCTTTGCGGTCACCACGGCAACAGCCCTGGTCATTGTTGTCAGCGTACAGGTGAGTGAGGCCGGAGTGGTTAGCTTTTCTCACAGGTGACAACCTCTATATTTAACTACTGTCTGTTCCATCATTGTGTGTTAACTGTGCACCTCTGTTGTTTTTTGCATGTGTGGGACTATGTAGATCGCTCTTGACACAGGCTTCTGGACAGTTTTCAACCATGTGTTTGTGTGGGGCTCTCTGGGCTCCTACTTCACCATCATGTTCGCTCTGCACAGTCAGACCCTCTTCAAGATCTTTCCCAATCAGTTCCACTTTGTAGGTCGGTCCCCTGTTCTCTTTATTTGTACGTCAAACACCAACAAACACACTAGAGCCTGACCAATGTTGAATTTTTGTAGCCAACATCAAGTTTTGAGTTTTAAAAAATCTGATAAAAACATAATTTTAGGATGTCTCAGATTTATCAAAAGAATTGTGATAGATTGCACTGAGGGAAAATATTTGATAAATGTAAATAAAGCAGACATAACAAAAGTATATTATGGGTGAATCAGTAAAAAACTGCACAAAAATGCAGCCAATAATAGTGGCTCCTTAATATATTGGTTGGGCTCTATCATCTGCCAACTCACACTTAGATTTATAAACACATAGACTTAGGAATTAGTTTACCCAAATTATATCTGACTCATCAGCCCCACTGTAGTCACCTGCTAAAATCATTTCACACCACCAGTGAAATCATTGTGTAATGATGTCTAATATCTGTGTGTTCGTGAAATGTTATAAATTCCTGAAAGATGTTTGTGTATGTGTGTTTGTGAGTACAGGTAGTGCTCAGAGCACATTATTGCAACCAGTTGTGTGGTTAACTATTGCACTGGCAACAGCAATCTGCATAGTTCCAGTTTTGGCATTCCGCTTCCTTAAGGTGGATCTCAAACCTCAGCTCTCAGACACGGTGAGAAAACACATACAAGCACAACGTTTCTACCACTGATGTGTACATCTTCTCTATTGCAACATGTGTCAGTGTCACATCTTCCCAGCAGGTCAGTCTTTAACTGCTCTCAGCCAATGATTAACTGCATGCGAATGTGTACAAACTGTGTGTGATGAAGAGTTCAGGCTTACCGTAACTGGCCTCATGCTGTGCAAATACTTTGCAAATATTGACTTAATCAGTGTACCCTAATGACAGAATTTGCTTTTAGTGCATGAATATAAGCTCGGTGTGTGTTGTCAGTCAGTGTGTCTTAAGCTTGCGGGGCGTCCAACCGAAGCCACTGTCAGGGTGGTGTGAAGAACTTCCTTTTTTAAATTTGATTGTAGGGTTGGGTGATTCTCTAGTCACTCTCTTTTCACTGAGGATAAGTTTGAGTTGTAAAGTACAAAGAGTTTTAAGTTTGGATGAGATTTTGGATCTGGTAGAGAAGTGGCAAAGAAAGTTTGACCAACAACTGAAGTGCACTAAAAAGGAAATGCACACAGGTGAAATGGTGAACTAAAATAATTTAACAACCTAACCTTAAAGGAATAAATGGCCTATTTTAGGAAGCTCATTAGCTTAGCATAGCACAAAGACTGGAAATAGGGCTAAACATTAACATTAACATGTACAAAATCAAGTTGCAGGGTTACAGAGATCTTTGTTTTTCCTAATTTGTGCTGTTATGAAATACTTATAGTGTGTAAAGCACTTAAATAAATCCACCACAACTGGTGTCTAAGTGTGTTATAATGGGTGACTGAGAGGCAAATTGTAAAGCATTATGTACATTAAGGTTGAAAAAAGTTCTATGTTTGTGCAATCCATTTACCATAAATGTATTTTTGCATCATCAGCCTTTCACTTTTTGGTCACATAATTTAATATAAAAATCTGTTTAGTTCAGCCTGAAGTTCTCAAACGGACTATGATGAACTAACAACATCATGTCACTGAATTTACTCAAAAAGTCTTCTCTGTGCCTTCTCCAGGTACGCTACACTCAGCTGGTGCGGCAGAAGAAGCGAAAGCCAGTAGGTCGTAGCGTGGGAGGTGCCTGGCGTGGCGTGGGCAGTGTGACTGAGGGCCGTCTGGGCGCACGCGGTGGTTCCAGGAGGTCAGGCTACGCCTTTGCCCATCAGGAAGGATTTGGAGAGCTGATCACCTCAGGGAAGAACATGAGGCTCTCGTCCCTGGCCCTGGCCACCTTTGCCTCCAGACACAGCTCCAGCTGGATCGACACGCTCCGCCGGAAGAAGCATACACACACTCACACTCCCCCCAGTGCCTCCGGGGAGTGCAGCCCAGCGCCCAGTTATGTTTCTGGGTCAGTTCCGCCGCTCTCCAACTCCTCCTCTGTTCTGGGCGGCTCACAAGACACACCCATCGAAGAGGAAACAGGCACAGCACCAGCCCAAAATACACAGACTTCATCCACACCAACCCTACCAGCTTTAGCACCAGCTTCAGACACATCTGCACCTCAGGGTTCAGCCCAGGCACTCAATGCTGGTGTCCTCACCCCCACATCAGTGAGGTCCCAGGGGGGAGACTCACCTGGAGGCTGGACAATCACTCTGGGGACTGTGCAGGTGAGCCGCTGTTATAACACATCTAAAATCATACACACTGACACACTATCTCTATCTGCATTAATATACCTTTTTCATAGCAGCCATTTTGACATTATATAGTAGGGTAAAACACAGGCATTACCAATGATACTAATTACATTTCTGCTCCAATCAGGGTACTGCTATTGTGCATGTTGGCTCACTTGAAAGGCTCTGCTACACTAGCCTAACTAAATGGAATGGAGCCTCAATTAACGTAATTTGGAATGAAATGCCATGTCAAAATGGCTTCTGTGAAAATGTCTATTAACTCCTTCATTATTATAACAGTTAACTCTTCCTCTCTCCAACAGGAAGCTCTGTTTGGTCGGAAGTCTCGTGCCGCTGCATCCAACAGCCCAGGCCCACCCTCTGTTGCCAAGGAAACCAGCCAGATTGAGTGAAACATTAAGAATAAATGGGGGAATAACTTCTGTTCATCACGTGTTTGTACACACATACAGGATGTGTTGTGTGCAGCTCCAGAGAGCACACAGACAGTTAGAAAAATGCTCTTCTCTCTGTTTCCCAACTGAAACCTCTATAATAAATCAAAATAAACATAGGAAGAAGAAGTGGCACATCCCAACATGACATGGACCTTGCCAACTATAAATTGGGATTTAGTGGTGACATGTTCCCATGGCATATGATATTGAGTTCATGAATGACTGACAGAACATATTACGAGACTGACAGCAGCAGCTGGTGCAGAAACAGACATCAAGATAATGTACTGTTAATGATCTAAAAGATTGTTTCAACTTGTTATTTCAGAAAGTTTAGGCTCACTCACAACCAAGTCTCACAGCATCTCTCAAAATCAACAATGGGCTGAATGAAAGGGCAGAATATTATTATCTGTTAAAGTGTTTTTGTCAAAAAGTCTCTGTGTTCACTATAGTTCTCAGTGAGAACGGTACTTTAAGTTACAGAGCACTGCAAGACTGTTGCAAAACTTGTGTCCTTTTTCTCTCATTGATCTGTTTTCTTACTTGTTATACCTCTACTTCACATTTTGCTCTCTTTTTTGCATCATATTGATGTGTTTTATAATGGCCTAGTTGAGTTGCACCTTAAAGCAAGCTCTCAGTGCTTTTTTTGTTTTGTCTGACAATGTACTTCTAATGTAATGTCTCGTACCACCACAGTATGAAAAACAAACACAAGACAAACTGCCGCTGGCTTACTCCAACCGGGGCAAAGTGCAAAGAAACTGTGTTTGGGGATAATCATGCCTTAACAATGCCAACATTTTAGTCCTCTAAGCTCTTTCTGGTTCCTGATCCATCGATCAAGTGCAACATCCCATCTGTGTTGTAAATGCTCCTGTCAATTACTGACCCCTGACCTGGATTGGAGTGAGATAATAAATAAGTAGGGTAATCAGAAAAAACAATATAAATCTGTTATTGGATCTGTGCCTGTACTACAGTCTTCAACAAAGCAGCTCTCAGACTGAAAACACAACAGAATGCTAACGTGATCTGCAAAAACCAGGCTGGAAACTGAATGTACTGTGCAGTATTTGGCCCCATGAATTGTTAGAGCATTAGTTGCACTCCATGGGGTGCAATATGGAGCTGTTGAACAGTGGTCAATAAATGTGTTGTCTGTCTTTCACATGAGCAAAATGTGTCCATGCAAATGTCATTTTAAATAGCAGCTCAAGTTTAAGATGGAAATGACTACGCTGTGGTGAAGCGTGAAATGAGGCAAAGCGAAAAATAATATAATAATAAGTGAAGTTTAACCACAAAAAGTACTTTTTGTACCCTTTAGTGTAGTTTATCAGGCTGCACCATCACTTTCTAAAGGCTGAAGTGAGAATATGAACAGAGATTAGAAAGAGATATTTTCATTTTCAAATCAAAAGGCAAATGTATTTTTCACTTTGAAATAAAATAAAATTCTCACAAGCTATATACATACTTCTGTTAGTACAGTAGTGTGATAAAAGGTGTGATCAGGAAAATACAGTTACAGTAAGGGTGTTAAAAAAAGATCTTCCTGACTATGACATATTTTAAAAATACATATTATAATAGGCATATATTCCGCTTTCATCGGGGTTTTATTTTGACACTGAAGAGGATTTCCTCTGTCAACTGAACAAGGGGAAGAGAGCTTGGATTTCACAATAACGGGTCTTACGGACAGCAGACCGCCTCAACCAGAGGAACCCCTGTCAGTCCCCCGTCCGCACTGACTGTCAGTTTGTGTGAAAGTTTCATGGAAGTCACTACAATCTCCGGCCAGATGTGAGTGATGGTATGAGGGCTCGTTTAAGCGAGATTCATGCGCAAAAATGCGTATTTTTCTCCCTTTGCTGTGTGCTGCTCTGTGCGCCACACCGGTCCACGGCTTTTTCGACGGAGAATGCCTCAGACAAGGTAAGATCCTAACGCATTAGTGCTGCCATGTAAGCGCGTTTAGGAGGACGAGTCCAAACACGCAGCCGGAGATCAAATAAATCACAGCAAACTGATAAAACTCTATAGCAGCTTGTTTGTTGGAGCACAGTGCAAGTTTGCTGAAAGTTGTTTTATTTCTGTTAAACTCAGAAACTTAAAGTATGATATTTCCACTGGTGGAGGACTTATTTAGATCGTTTACTGTAACTTTCTGTGACAAAAAGAAGTCATTGAAAACTTACTTAAAGTGTTAGAAATAAACCTCAAAAACGTGCCTGTGACTGTTACAAACTGTTATATATCATATCATTAAATCATTATTAGGCTACTGCTGGATGAATGTAAAAGCAGGATTTTGCTGTTGTGATTGGTTGAGGTGCAGCTCATTTAACTAATGTGGCACCTTCACAGTGCTTGTTTTGTCCAACCAATAATACTGATAAAATAGTAAACCCTATTAGAAGCAACTAGTTTAAATCATTTAAAGATTTTTTTACAGGAAAAAAAAACACTTAAATTAAATCACCGCTTTTATCGCTTCAGCTGCACTTGTACGGTCGATTTAATTTATAGCAAAACATCATATTTTATAAGCTCTTCATATGTTTTGTGCAAGAATCTTAATTTGTAAGGAAGTAAGGAAAGCTGTCAAATAACTGCAGTGAAGTAAAAAGTACAATATTTCTCCCTGAAATGGAGTAGAAGTATAAAGTGGTATGAAAACAAATCAAGCAAAGTAATACCTCAGATTTCTACTTAAGTACAGTACTTGAGTAAACGTATTTAGTTACAAAGTATCTAGTATGATATCTAGTATTATATACTTGCGTGTGTTTGTTGTACTAAAACTGTTGGGGGGGGGGGGTTCTGAAGCTTTGAGACAACTACTTTGAGTTTGACGTCAAAAAACTGCTCATTATTTATCCAAATAATTTATGAAAAGGTTTGGGCAAAATCATATTAAAAAAAATAAGTAAATTAATTTTTTTTAAATTATGAAATCTCAAACCAGTCCACATACAGTAGATGTGCTGTTTCTCCTCCCTTAGCTGCAGAGCCTCTATCTTTCATATCAGATTTCTAGGGAGAATAAGATGCAGAATTGGGAAAGAAGGAGAAAGGGTGAGGAAGTGTTTGTAAGGGCAATGAACTTCTACCATCAACCAAGTCAAGTTCTGACAGAGCTGTAAATAAAAAATTTGGCTCATATCTCAGGTCATGATTCAGCTTTGAATGCAATCAGAAAATCAGAATATTTAGGGAATGTCAGAAATGTAAATATGTGAGTGAGAGACGACAAGGGTGGGGGGGCATTATTACAGGAAAAGAAACAGGAAAAACAAGAGATATATTAAAAGAGGAAGTTGAAAGGAGTTGGTAATTTTAGTTAAGCAATGTTGCATCCTATCTGTGCTGCGTCCAGTGTAACCAAAATACTAAATAAATCTTGGATTTGCACACACACGACTCAAGACAGCATGCCCACACATTGGTTTATATTCATTCTTTCTATTATATTAATTATGTTTTTGTTTTTCTGCGCAGACCCTCCCCTTGGTGCGTTGGTTTTATCCCCAGGCAGTAAGTTGGTTCTGACCTGCAGCGGTCGGGTGATGGTGAACGGAGTAAAGGTCAGAAACAGCTCAAACGCCAACCGAAGAGGCACTTCTGCAGGTGTAACTCCAACCACTGTGAAGATTACAACCAACACTGGAGTCCCGATGAAAAGTGACAAACATACTGTGGAGAACGCTGTAAGTGAGGGATACCTTAACCCGACTGAGGCAGCAGAAAACAGAAGCCTCGGATATACGGATACAGGATACACAGCCTCTGCCACCACTCACATGATCCAGTCAACCAGTGCGCACACACTGTTAGAGGCTGAAGAGATGGGTGGCGAGGACGATTATGAGGAAGAGGAAGAGAAGAACGAGGAGGAGGAGGAGGAGGAGGAGGAGGAGGAGGGGAAGGAAGGGAGCAGGGTAACAAGGGGCATAAAATCAAGGCCTCAGTGGAAGTGGAAGTGGAATAGGAAGATGGTGGGAAAAGGAGACAGAGACTGGGGAGAAATCTCATTTGAGAGGAAGGGGGCCACACTGTCTCTGTCCTCAGTAAGACTGACAGACTCTGGAATGTACACGTGTTATTACAGAGACAGAGAGAAGTTCTCCCTAAAGGTAACCGTCGCAGGTGAGTCACAACAGCAATGAAGCTGTAATGGATGATTGATGACAGTTACTATAAGTGATGTGTCAGTTTTATTTGATCCATGGGATGTCCTGATATATTTTAATTGAGAAAACAAACCAAAAAGTTTAACATTAGTGTTGGTTTTCTGTGTGAAATATGATGTGAGTAAGATATTGCAAAGTACATTATGCCACATGTTATGAATGTAAAAACTGTTTATGCATCAGTGTGAGGATGTGTGTTAGTGATGTAGAAAGGCCTTAACGCACACACATATAACAATGACTGACTAAATGAACAAATAATGAATATACAGTATCACTGCATGTTTTATATTCCTGTTAGATCCTCCAGAGAATCCCAGCCTGTCTTGCTTCAAAAAGTCACCCACCAGTAAGATTCGCTGTCTGTGGACGCCTGAGAAGCCCGTCACTATAAGGCCCAACTGTTTCCTCTTCCTCAGTAAAAGGTAAGCACACACACTAACACTATAACTCCCCAATGAATACTTAATACATAGTGCGAATGATGGTAAATAATACTTTATAACACAAAATAACATATAATGTTATCTCTTAAAGGTGAGGTCATCCAAAACACGCTAGCTTTTCGTCCATGTGTGCACTGAGATCTAGTGTTTGTACCCAGCCCTGGCACTGCAAATAGGAAACAAAAGTGACTCAGACTGATGTTAAGAAGCTGCTAACGTGTAAAGTGTGCAATCTGCATGGCCTATGACTAATATTTTAACCATGTAAACTAACCATCTATCCAGTATAACTGGAAAGTGCTGACGTTAAGAAACTTTTAATATCACAAACTATGATTTAGATGCTGTTTCTTTTCCCTGTATCAGCTAACCTGTCAATCGCATTAGGTGTGTTTGCAAGTTCCAGAACTATTGTAATTATTTTCTTTGACATCTTACCAAAGAATATCCCTCCTATACCATGCCAGAAATTTAAAGCCAGAGCATTTTTTCTTTCTTTTGTTGTTGTTGTTGTATGTTTTAGACTTAAAATGAGAAGGTTAAACAGAAGAAAATGTGTGCTTGCTGCTGATCTTCTGCAATTGATACATTTGAAATAGTTAAATGAAAGTGCTGAGAGCAGTTAAAGTTTAAATTAAGTTGAAGTATCAGTTCAAGTATTAGTTGAAATAACAGTAAACTTTATATCTTGCTGATCTTTGTGGGAGTGACGCCATTCTTTCTCTTTCCTTCTTTGTCTTTCCGTCTCTCAGCCCGTCACAGGTATTCCATCGCTTGCCGTGCTCTTACTCAACTCAGGCCTCTCGCTGTTGGTGTGCTCTGGAGCACGACGAGGACGAGCGGAGAACCTTTTACACTGTCTACCTGTGTGTTACGAGCATCGCAGGCAACGCCACCAGCTCCTTGCTGCACTTCACACCTCTAAACATTTGTAAGTGGGCGGGACGAGGCGGGGGTGTGCAAATCGCAGGTGTGTTGGTCTCATGTAAAGGTAATTAATTCCCTCTGAAGCTGCACTAACTATAGTCCCTTCCTGCTCCCTCAGTAAAGCCCGAACCTCCATCACGTGTGTCAGTACGGCAGATGGAAGGACAGCCAACGAGGATGGCGGTCACCTGGGGTATCCCGAACTCCTGGAAATCTCATTATCACTATTATAAACTAATCTATGAGATCAAATACCAACCTCTCAAGTCCTCATTTCACTACGAGCAGGTGTGTGCTGGGAAACAAGGTGTTCCATGTTTTTGCGCATGTGTGTGTGCAATTACTTTTCACAGTTCAGTAGTTCAGTGTTGGCTTGTATTCCCTGAAATAATTAAAACACTCAGGTGATGACGGTGTGTTTATCTGGTTGTCTATCTGCACCTGTCTATGTAGATACAGAAGATAGAGAAGAACCTGCACTCCTACACTATCAATGATGCAATGCCTGGTGTTGAGTACCTGATACAGCTCAAAGCTAAGGATGAGTATGATGGTCTGTGGAGTGACTGGAGTGAACCTGTCTATGCCAGCAGTTGGATTGGTAAATACACATGCACACATGTATACATATACAAAAAAAAAAGTAGCATTTTAAAATTAGATTTAGCTGACATTGTGATTTGTCACTAGAGACTTTAAATAGATTTTTCTTCCCACTCAGAAAAAGTGCCTTAACATTTTAGAGACCTGGAAGTGATGTAAATTAAGTGGACGGGTAAATCATTTAACTTTATCACTTCGGTAATACGTGATCCACCCTGGGCACGGACAAAAGTAGTCATGACAACTAGAAGAGGCAGGACTCCTGTTTCCTTCCTGTACGATTGGGTTTTTCTGAGAGCTGTGTATATAAACATCCTCCCATAGAGACATGTTTTTACTTATTACAGTTTTTTTTTTTCTCTACATTTACTCATTGTGAACAGCATACATGAAGCATTCTTGTTCTGGAGAGTTCTGGATACATTTTTACATACATACATTACATTACAGTTTTAAAGAAAATATTTAGGAAATTGCTTTTGAATGCATCCTCATACCCTGATGTTCTTTGAAATTTTGAAATATACCCCGTTTAAAATTAAAGTGACACATGCTCTTGCAAATTTTGACATGAAAGTGAAACCATGTAAATGTTTTATCTAGATAGTTTTTCTGACATATTCCTCTAACTTGACTTTTCAGTACTTAAGTACAAATTCAAGGGACTTGTACTTAACTTGAGTATGTCCATTTTGTGCAACTTTATACTATAGCTTTAGCTACTAGTTACTTACTCAGATTACACTTTTTCATAGCCTTCCTCTCCAGTGAAAACCCTGTATCTTCAAATATGATTTTGCATTTAAATGTTTCTGATAAACTGAAGGATTAGCTGTAATGCAAAGCAGAAAACAGCGCTGTTGTCCTGAGCTCATGAGAAGTTGACTTTTTAGATATACATGGTTCTAAAAGGACAGCGACTCTACAAACATATCATGATCTCATGGAATATGATGCATTGCTGTAGATTAAACTACCCAGCAGTATATAAAGTAGTGCAACCTTAAACCTTAAACAACTACAGGATCAAAAGGCAGCATATACATTAATGCAACAGTAACATTAATCCAAAAACACTCAAGTATCATGTTTCTCAAGATATGTATAACAGCTCCTTCTACATTCAAGACATTTATTGATTCAGTGATGTCAACAGAATATCTCGTTCCCTATTCCTTCTTTTAAAATGTTAGTTGTTTTCAAACTAAATCAGATTCTTCTGTAAAAATAATGACATTATGTAGGGATCAAAACATTTGATATTCTAGTAACAGGAGTCTCTTTTTATTTTTTTTTCTAAAAGAAATACACAATTCTAGATCAGTTGTTTTTAACCTTTTTAAAAGTGTACTTCTAACCCCTTGTTACTGTTTGTACAAGTGTTCTTGCTGTGACCAATTCAACCAAAGAGGGATGTTATTTCTTTCTCTCTTTTGGAGGCCTGAGGAAGTTAAACTAATATCCAATAATACACACTAATACACTAATACTAATACACATTATTCACTCACATTTGTGTTTGCAATCCCTTGTGGAGTTCCCAACCCCCAGATGTAAAAAACTGGTCTAGATAATACAACAGTATGTTTTTACCTTTAATAACATGTCACCTGTCTGCATGTCTCTGTCCTCAGCTCCAACGACAGCTGAAACTACCACAACGGTAAGAGTCTCAATGTATTGATCGTTTATGAGAAGATCATTAATCATTAATTAATTAATCTTTGTCATGTTCCCCTATGACACTGTGTGTTCATTGTTGTCCCATCTCCAGTATCTCACACTGTCTCTCCTCTATCTTTCAGTTTTTAATCTCTACAAGCGACGGAACGGAAGGCTCTGCAGAAGACAGTGTCCCTACTAGTAAGATACCTCAGCAGACAGTAAAATATTTTGGTTAATGAGGTGTGTGTGTGGGAGAGAGAGAGAACGAGACGGGGTGCAAAAGAACAAGAGAGAGATGGGGAACTCTTAAAGGTTGTTAATGCTGAAAATCCCCTTTGCCCCACTGGGTTATAACAGGAAGCCATGTCATCATAATAACTGAGGCTCAACAACGAAACAAGCCACAGGAAACATGGCTCAACACACCTATCTCTCCCACACACACCCAAACATATACTTGCATGGATGTTATTCAGCTATTTCTAACCTCTCTTTACTTCAGGTCCTGGGCTAGAAAAAACCGTGGAGGAGGTGCCGCATTATGTCCTGTGGATATCTGGTTCCTTTGCTTTCTTGTCATGTCTCGTCATGTTGGCTGTCTACATATTATTCAGGTAGTGAGAAGTGCACTCGGTTATGTATTTAAACGTCATGAACTACAAACATGTTGTAAACATATACGGATACGTTTACTTAAATAATATTCGTTTTTTTTAAAAAAATGATTGCAGTCGACTTCTCTTTTTGTTAAATTCAGACACAAGGGCAGATTTATGTCTAAACTCCGCAGTCTGAGTGTCATCGGCCAGTGTGGTGGCTCGCCTCAGTCTCCGCCCTCGGCCCCAACACCTGCGGAAGGGCAGGCTCTGATGACCTTTGGCCCTCCACGTTACAAAGAACCCTCGCCGAGCGAAGTGGATGAAGGGGAAGAAGAAAATGAAGAGGAACAGTGTGTGAATGAGAGGACTGAAGCCATGCACTTCAACAACACAAGTTACTTCTTCCTCCCGAAGAAGTGATGACCAAGCAGAAAGGGGAATAAAACTATCCAGAACATTTTAACTACTTTAGGTTGTTGGATTGTTGTTTTTCACATGTTCAGAGCCAGAAAAAAGGATAATGGACTTGTTATGGAACTTCTTCTGGAAACAAACTCAGGAACAGCTAATACAGTCTCTCTTTCTTACTTTATAACTCTATCACATGCCTAAAATACCTCTAAAATACTTTTCTGTTGTTGTATTTGTCTTAAAAGCCACCTTTAGCTACTCTCTCCTATACATTTTTAGTGTGTCGATAAACTGTAGACTAGATGTAGGCCTAGTGTTAGGCCTGAGTCTAGCGTACCACCTCTTGTTTTGTTTGTATATAATTTTGTTAAGGTTGTTCAAATATATCACTTACATGCCCTCTTAGTTTCCACTTATTCTTTACAAGGGTTGAATAAGAAATGGCAAAAGTTGCTGTCAAGTCATTCATCTATTTTCCTGCCTTTCAGACTGGTTCAGCTGGGTTAATAGTCCTGTTCAAGGTTGTGTGTTGCTCCAACAGACGATCGAGAAATCCCTGAAAGTGTTTCTGTGATAAAATCTAGATTATGAACTGTACAAAGCCTTACTTCTTTAGGATTATTCACTACTAAACCATTAGGCCTATATTATATTATTAGGCTACTTGATCTTGAGCCTCTGTCTCTGTCTGAGTTAAAATATAGTTTAGGAGTCACTTACTCAGTTTTGTGCTTGTATGTTAAATATTTAAGAAATGGTAAAAGCAATGGTAAATGGTAAAAGCAATTTACCATTTAGCAAATAGGGCCATGTAGTATTCTACATTGGAAAAAGCGTGTACACAACTGTAGCTAATTTGTTTGCCTTGGGCCCCTCAGCTATCATGAAATGCTGCAAAACAAAAATATAAAGGATTTTTTGAAAGACTTTTCAATGACAATATAGCTGAATACAAGCAGTTCCCCAGGCACCCAGTACCCAGAAAGCAAGTCATCAGGTAAATAGGATTTCTGTGGTCAAATGTGAAATGTAACATTTGTGGTAAACAGAAAAAACTGTCACCATGGTGGTACTATACTGCTACATACATACTATAATACTGCTGCTTTTCAGTTTCAAATGATTCCCCTTTAAAATGTGAATTGGTTTCATTTACAAAACAACAACAACAACAACAACATATCTACAAATGTTGTTGACCTGTTGTCCTCCTGTCCCGTGCTGCCACCTCGCGGACGCAGCCGTTACTTGCCGGAGGTCGTTTCCATAGCAACAGTTGCTAGACTGCAGAAGCTGTGTCAGTAACAGGTGACCGTTTTGTGCACAATATCTAACGTTTACCAACTTTACCAACTGAAAGTAATAGGACGAACATTTATAGAGAAGTGATGGCTGGAAAAGGCGGTGTGGCGAAACTGGACGTCGGTGTGTTGAGCGCCGAGCAGCAGGAGAAACTGCGACAATTCAAGGTAACGAGAAAGCTAAAAAAAAGACAACAAAGCTAACGGGAGCTAACGGGAGCTAAACTCTGCCTCTTTATTCGTTCACTGTTTGTTAGCGAGTCTGAAATGCATTTCCTTTTGAGCCTCAGATCAAGACGAGAATCGACAACGAGAAGTATTTGAGGTCGCATCCAGAAGTGGAGGTAGTGATAGGCGACTTTCTAAGGTTAGTTAACGTTAGCTCAGTTTCTCTTGTTATAAACTCAATCTGCAGATGAACTTTTAACGAGAAGAGACCCGACAAGCTCCTGATGGCACACAGAAGTAGCTCTCTCATTTGGATAAATAAGCTAAATCCCAGAGAAATGAACCCTAACCTGTGGATGGATGCTGTTTTCCTCCTAATATTAGTTCTTGTACTACTTTTTATTAGTTATTTGTGATAAAAGAAGCCAGCAAACAGTGTAAACATGGATACAATAGTAACGTCTGACTGTATTCCGACTTTAAGCGTTTAATTGTTATTACAATGTGTTAAAAGTAAATATCAACCTCAAAACAAGGCCAAAACAAACAAAGCTTAAAACATGTATGAGTAGAAGCTTAATCAAATAAGGTTAATGAAGGGGAATGCAAATATGTTTTCAAAGAAGCTGAGTTTGGCAGGCAAATGTCTGCAGGCAAACTAACGTACTCCAGGGTGTAGATGTAACCTAATACTGCCACAATAAAATAAACTGGCAGGTGGCCATATAAGTCTTATTTTTATTTGTTTTGTGTTTTTTTAAGGATGGTAAAAGGTCTGAATTTGCCTGTGTTTGTGAGTAATCATCTATTTTACCATATAAACATATTACCTAAACATCCAACTACTTTATATGTTGGGTGGAGCCGACCATCCTTAAAACACACAATGTTATTTACAGGAATACTCATAAAAAACATGTAAAGCCTCCCTCATAAGTTATCCTATAGTTGCATAGTTGCTATCTATCAGTGAAGTTATTATTTACATAGCTTGTCCTCCTCTTACAGAGATGTGCTTCTTAAGAGGCCCGCTGACGTCCGTGAGTTTGCTGCAGGTGAGTTACACACACGCCGACTGTGTGTGGTCAGTTGTTTATTGTGTTGGCTCAATAGTATCGTAAAATGTGATTGTCATTTGTTTGTATATATGGTAAGTTTAAAAAAAAAAAAGTCAAATATACTACACTGAACAAAATTATAAGCGCAACACTTTTGTTTTTGCCCCCATTCATCATGAGCTGAACTCAAAGATCTAAGACTTTCTCTATGTACACAAAAGGCCTATTTCTCTCAAATA